ATGAAATGCGAAATAGCAGTTGCAAAAGTTATCTTGTTGACAATCATTTTCTGTTAGAAAAAAATAGACATTCATATAAAGATAAATACCTCTTTTCCCATCCACTCTCATTTCCTAATCGGATAATATCCATGCTAGTTTGTTTGCACAGGAAAGAAGTAATTAAAGATTTAGTAATTATTTTAAACATACAGTTTGCATATATTTGTTAACATTTTGCATTTTGCAGCTTTATTTTGCAGAAACCTGCCATTAAAGCCAAATTTCCATTATTTGTATTGATTTTTTTGGCATTATTGTTAATTAGACTAAGACAAGTGTCGAGCAAAGAGAATTTGCCTACCCTTCAATGGTCTTACACCAAGATGCTTGAAAGCATATCAGTGGAAGGAAGGTTTATTTTCTGAAATACTAGACCTAAGCGAAAACTTCAACTCCAGTTTTTAGCTCTACCTATCTTCTCCGTAATGCTTCCTATGGAAAACCTGACCCAGGCATTCAATGATGATGTGAAATTTGGCAGAAACAAAAGGAAACTTTCTTGATCATTGGCGATTTCGATTATTAAAGGCGTTCCAAGTTTGTCGTGCTTGCAAGCCAACCTTCCTTAAGAAGAAGCCATCTTTAATCACCTGACAAACCAAATATGTCATGTTATTTAGCATTAGCAAAGTTATTGTACTTTTGCCATTTCTAGAGGTGGAAGTAGCTTTTCAAATTATGTTGGCCAGTGTAATCGCATTCGAGCGTATTCCTGTTGGATGCTAAATGCAAGCAACCCGAAGGAGGCGACATGGCTAGACTTGCTTCTCCCTCTCGCAAATGAAGCAGTATCAGAAGTGCTTGCACACTGGTTGCCTTATCATCAAGATCGTTTACACTGGACCCATCACAGACCAATCATATATCTAATCCAGCTTGATTTGTTCTCAAAGTTACCTGAAGTTTGTACTCACTAAGTCAGACCACAGCCGCCTTGGGTCGAAGTATTTTCTTCATCACTTTCCACCAATTCGACTAATTAAGATATACATTTAGCATCTGTAGAGTACAACCGCTTCTTATTCGAGATAATCGTGTGGATATCACATTTTCGTTTTTTGAAAAGAAATTCGTTCCAAGTTGATTCTTGCTAATCCCATTAGGCTGAAAACATCTGTGCTTATTATCCCTGTGGTGACTGGTCATCTACCTATCTGGGGGGGGGTGTGAAGTAATGATATTTGAGAAGTTTGGGCATAGCAGAGTTAGGCTTATGAGAAGACAGAACACTCACCACTTCCAGAATTCAAATAAACATTCGGTTTCGGTTTCATTGCCGCCTTTAACTGGCCCCTTCTTGCGTCTGAAATTTTTAGAACCCTACGTTCATGATTGTCATTAATCAAATGAATTTTAAATTAAAGTCAAAAGTCTTATTATTTTAGGTTTGTTATTTTAATTTAATAAGGAATAACGAAAAAGGAATTTCATTTACCACGTGAATATCAAAATCAGATATATTTTGACATTTATAAATCACAGTTAAGTTTGTGTCCTAGCATTTGACGCATATAAAATGTGTGTTGCCATCTCTCAATTCATCATGGAATTTAAGGTTTGTTTTAATAGCACTTAATTAGAGGACAGAAAATCGTTTGCGGATAAGTTGCTAGAAAATAAAGCGTAATAAGTGAATAATTTTCACTTTTTCAACAAAACTAAGTAGCCAAATGATAATTTAAAGAAAGCATAAAGTTAGCAGTGAGATATGTTGCGACACCATAGGAACAGGATGGGAATTTGCTGGACGCATTCGATGAGTCATGGATCCACTCTCACGATGATGCATAAAATCGGACGTATTCTCTCATCTTTTTTCTCTAATTTGGGCCTGTAGATTGAAACCCCGCCTCGTTGCAGACCGTTAGAGCTTTTTAACCTCATTTATTCGGCATCCACATCTCTTACACCAGGGGCTAAACTCAACCCGTTGGTATTCTAATTAATGGAAAATGCAGTTGTATCTGCTTTGCTTATAGGAAGCACTTTCAAGATCTATTTGGGAATCACTATTCCAGCTTGTTTGAGTACTTAAAGTTGATATTAGGTTGAGATTAGTTTAGGATTTGAAAATGAACATAATATGGGCTGAAACTAGTTTCCATTTATAAAAGAGCTATTGATTGAAATTTCTTAAGACATAAAACAAATATAGGTGTGAGGAGGGAGGGAGGGGAGGGAGGGGGTGATGTCAAACATTAAAAATGAGTAAATGCCCACTGCAGTAACAGGAATCCCTATTTCTTGTTTATGACTGATTTGCGTGGGCGTTGGGCCATAGCAACCCCCGGGAAACCTCATTTTTCTTTGCGTCAAAAATAAGCAAAAGGCACGTCGCGAACGAATATTTCATTTTCGACTCTGCCTAATAACAACTATGTTTAGATTCTTGAAAATGATATTTTTTTGATATGATAGTGACGTCCACTAAGCACTTTCAAGGGGAGTGCATTACTAATAGCAATTCAGAAAGGGCAAAGATTTGTCTGTTGGGAGAGGTTACCTTGAGCAGAGCATTGGAGAAATCCATGGTTATTAAATTAAAATTCCACTGTTTGAAGCAGCTAAATCGCAAAAAAAACACAAAACGTCTTGTGAGACAGCGGCTTTGAAGTAGCTGAAATTAAATTTTATGGTCCGGGGTGTGCGATAAACTTACCTCCACGTGGTGCACCCTGGGCAACATATACTCACACCTTACCTCCACGTGGTGCACCCTGGGCAACGTATTCTCATTCGGCTACCTCCACGTGGTGCACCCTGGGCAATGTATACTCATACACCTCCACGTGGTGCACCCTGGGCAACGTATACTCACGATAAACTTACCTCCACGTGGTGCACCCTGGGCAACATATACTCATACGGCAAAAAAGTCTATTAACCGGCAGTTGACTTCTCACTGCAAACTACCATCATCCCACTGTATGCTTATTCCAACACTTTCACAGTAATCATCTCACCTTTTTTCTACCTCTGTGTTTGTCTCTTTTGCATCTGTGAATCACTCTTCTGTTCCCCACACCTCGACTTTCTGCTACTTTGATGAGCTTCTCTTCCCCACCCCTCGACTTTCTGCTACTCTGATTAATCTTCCCTCTGTACCCTCTGTGAGGCCCGAAGTCAGCTAAATGGCTAATGATAGTTATCAAAATGCCTGCCATTTGAAATAAATAAATTTTTATGGTCCCACATGCCAAGGATATATTTTAAAGAAAATATTTTGCCCTGGTGAAACTGAAAGTTAGCCTTTTCACTAACTCTATTAAATAGCGCTTTTATAGAAACTGACTGAATATTTGTTGGTGTTATTACTGATGCAAAGCGTTTGATATATATTTTAGGAAAAAGGATTCGATTTTCATTTATATTTCCTTAATACACACCTCCGTAAGTATTCTTCTACCTCACCTTAAAAACCAAATTGATCGAGTTCTGTGGAAGTCAATCGTTGTCAATTTACTCTGCCTCGTACCTAGAGCCGACTTTTCCCGTAAATTCTCTCCCTCATTGTGATTCCTCTCAATTTTTTACCAGTATTAACGGTTTAGCTATCCTTAATATTTCAAAGTCTTCTACTACCACCCTGTAACCTTCTCTCATTCCTCTCCAGTTGTTCGTCCGCATCAAACCTATCTCTACTGTAAATAAGAATAAAGATAGAGAGTTATTTAAGCAAGTACGGCACAATTTCCTTTAACCGTACTTGACTACCGAAAGTTGACTTTTGCGTCTCTTCACGGCCGTATCCTGATGACGTGACTGTCAAAAACATAGAACATGAATGAGCAAAATGCAAAATATAACTCCCTGAAAAAGAATTATTTTCAAAAATTCGAATTCATTCTCTTATCCTATACTTTAAGATCCACTTAAGGACCGGTAGAGTACCTGCGAATGTTAGATCATTGACTTGCTTCCACTCTAAAGGTATTATTTCATTGTGGCACTTAGCTAATTGGCAGTTGTTGATATTTCATTGCTGCAAGTACATAATAATTCATACAGAATTAAGCCATGTGACATTTCACAGGGCAAGTTATTTTGTCATTTACTTTCTATCTATTTCTCATTCTTCACATGTGCATAATCTAAATGCTAGCTCTTTCATTCGTTACAGGCATTTCTATGCAATTAGTTTAAAAGTATAATTACTTCCATTTCATAATTTTACTCGGAATTGGTACAAATTTATTTATCCATTTCAATAAAATTTTAAACTGCATTGAGTAGGAGACAAACGTATTAGAAAATTTTCTTCAATGTTTAGAAAACTCTTTAAAGTATAGTTTATTTTTTCATGAAAGAAATTCTCTTTTTTATGTTTTACCAGAAATTGAAATCAGGAAGATTGTGTGAAAAATTAACATTTCATTAGCTTTAAATTACAAATCAGTTTTCTTCGTTACACCAAATACTTGATTGAATTAGTGCTATTTCTCCATAAATTATCTTGATAATATAAATTATAAAGACCACTGGATAAATATGTCAAATAAAATAAATTACAATACAATCAGAGATAATTATTTTTAAAAGAGAGAGGATTAATTGTAATTCAAACCATGATTTTTGACAAGATTGGTACATCCGATGAATAAATAAATGTTACATTGATTGTGGTGCATATGTGCCTATTATGACAATTTATTATTCGTTGATACATTTAATTGTTTGTTTTTTCATTTTATTTTCCCCACTAGAGAAATATCTTGGCAAGATTAATCAGTTGTGTTTTATGAAACCAATATACGTAGGTCATCAAACCCGTATTTTTTGAATCACTGGTATTATCAGCTGACTGCTTGATATATCTAATTTTGGTTTTTAGTTATTAGTTCATTAACATTAGATATATTTCATTTCGTTTTGATTTAATTTAGTGTAAGTGAGCTTTTACTTCGATTATATAACATTTTAATTTACTTCTAATATATTTCTATTTTTTAAACAGCAATATGGTGAAGACTTTTCATGTCTACTTTGGATCGAACAGTGGTGGAACTAGTCGCTGTAGTAGTACGGGTTCTAATGGTAGCACTGAGTCTTCCGACGCTTCTACTAGCAATGTTCCTATTGATGAAAGGACCTACAGCTGTATACACTGTCGTGCTCATCTGGCTCGTCATGAAGATCTCATTTCTAAATCATTCCAAGGCACTCAAGGACGCGCCTATTTATTTGATTCTGTTGTTAATGTCACCTCAGGAAAGGCTGAAGAACGACTCCTTTTAACTGGTAGGAATATTTTTCTGATAGAATAATTGATTACTTAAATGAATAATTATGTTGGCTTTTTCGTCATGTTATCTATGTTTGTGCTACTTATACTCCACTTGAGTGTTCGCTAACGCAGTGTAAACACGGATTTGTGTTGACCGTTGGGGGCCAGTTCAGATAGTCAAAGTCATGAATCACCGTTTAAATTCACCTTCAGGAACATATTTTCTGATTTCTTGTTTGTTATGTAAGAGGTTTTCCATCTTTCTTTCTTGGTTTTACGATCGCTTTGCGTAAAACTTCAGTGGATGAAAGGTATTTATGTTTATTTTCTGAATAAGAGGAGGTTGTGTTTTCAAGTGAATTGAATTTTACTTGCTTATTGAAATCTTTTGAAGCTACCCCTATTTTTGTTCGAACTTTCTCCTACAATTTATTCTTTCATTTTGAAGTCTGTTTTTAATGTTCTGAGTTTAATGAATATCTATTAGACTACGTTTTGGGATTTAAACTGCATTTACACATTTTGAGTTCCCTAAGTATGAAATAAAAGTACTTTAATTTCCAAAAAAAATTAATTTTAGGTCATATCGTAGTGAAGTATGCGAGAAAATAGCATTTATTGGGTATAATGGCCTCGTCTGACCCAATTTTGGACAAAGCTACCGTCACGTGATTTGAGCCTTGTCAGTTCTATCGTAGCGGGGCGTGTTTCCCTCCCTCTCCCCCCCCCCCTCCCCATTCACTAACATTTTACTTAACCAATACGAGGACGAACTAAAGATCCTAGACTCCCTCTTCGAATTTGTTTTAATTGACGGATAATTATTGACTAATTTCACGGACAGGAGGTGTGTGATAGACTTACTTCCACGTGGTGCACCTGGGCAACGTATACTCATACGGCAAAAGAGTCTATTAACGGGCAGTTGACTTCTGACTTCAAACTACCAACAATCAACTGTATGTAATATTCTACTACTTCACTATACTCACCACACCTTTACTCTGCCTTTGTGTTTGTCTCTTACATCTTTGAAACACTCTTCTATTCTCCCCCCCTCTCGACTTTTTAAGTTTGATGTTCCTTCCCCTTTATGAAGCCTGAAGTCAACTAAAGGGCTAATGATATCCATCAAGACGCCTGCCATTTGATAAATAAATTTCATGGACAGTGCTTAGCCTTTTCGTGAGGAAGCTCTTAGAATCGAACCAAATTCATGATGTGCAGCTTACCTCCGTAAATCGAGCTTTAAATGAAAGGCTATTACAGGGGGAATTTCCTTTATATGCATAGTGGACTACTTAATACCTAGAAACTACGTTTGGTCCAACTTTTCTAACACCATTTTTCAAAATTCCGTTTCTTATTAAATGCGATGTAAACTTGAAATTTTATGCACTCGTTGTTTGCCACAAATTGTGTGTTCATTTCAGCTCCCCAGTAGATGAATATCATGCGAGGCTACTTGCCTTCATAGCACTGAGAGGTAAAGCAATTTAGGTGAGAATACCCACTCAAAAGTGTCGGGGTTGTCGAAGACAAGTATTTGTTTCAAAATTTAAGAAATTTGATTTGCCATGTGACCTGCCCTAGTAGTGCATATTGTTCAACTCCGATCAAAGTAACTGATGCCTCCTGGATGTATTCATGCTTTTGTGAAAAATAGATATGGAACAATGAGATTTTGGGCATTAAAGTATGGTAAAAATAACTCAATTAACGACTTTCATTTTTTGCGTATTTTGGAGGCCTAGTCGTCATTAGGTCTAAAATGTAAGAAAAAAGTCATTTCTTTTCACACGTTGGTGCCACTCACACTTCTTCCTTCCGCAAAGATGGCTTCCTCCATCTTCTGTCTCTTTGGTCTTATTGCATTTTTGTTTTAACCAAGTCGCGCGATTTGTCGGATCGTCTGACACCTAGTTTTAACCTTGGATCATTTCACAAGTTATAACTTGCATTGGCTTTCAAGGCCACTTGGTTATTGGTCTTCTTGCCAACCTCTTTTGTGATGAGATGCACTTTCTCCGAATTCGATGGCGCTCTAAGCTATATGGGGACTTGGAGTTCCAATCGTTTCAAGTTTTTTATTAAATTGAAACGTTTTTAGTTGGGACAGCAAATGACACTGATATCGTGAGTAAATCTTCTGGAGTAGGGTAGAATGCAAAGGGTAAAATAAATGGCGCATCTACGCGCCTTGCTTTTTCTTCTGTCTTATTCGCTTCTCAATTTTAAGCAGCCAATTAGGAAGTCATAATCTTAAAAATAGGCCAGGGTTAGGGCTGTGAGCCATCGTGTGCGAAGGCAGCAAAATTTGGAAATTTTAGCCTCTCTTGAAATTCTTTGCAAAAGGAAATCAGCGGTTCGCTGAGATGAGGAAATGTCGACTGGCGCGCTCCTGAACAGTGAGAGGAAGACCAAACCTCATTATATAGTTAAATTTGCAGAATGATTAAGACGGTCAAAATTCTAGTCTCTATCTCTCTCAACAACCGGACTTCATGAATCTACGTTCATGCCACATTGATCTAGAAGTCAATACTGAGTTCCGTAATACATACCATGAACCCTTTGGTTATAAAAATTACCGTTGATTAAAAATGGCATTTAAAATGTGACTGATTCAGATATTACTGAATCAGTTCTGAAATTTTGGGGCAAAAATGTGCACTGCTGATTTTTATTTATGCGCTGCAATAAAGCGCTTTTTGGTCTTTTTGGAAAGAATAATTATACCTTTTTTAATGAAAAAAACTAGCCAGAAGTGGAGAATTTTATTAACCGCTACGTTTTCTCCTTCAGTGCCCGTGTTCTTGCACTCAGACGTTTCAAAAAAATGCTGGGAGGTGCATTAACTCAAATTCAAAGACCTTATTAGATGGACATTCAAGTGACTTCTCGCATTATGCATAAAGGAGGAGGGTAGAATGTGTGCTACCCACGAAACGCACGATCTTATGTCACTCTTATTTTTCTATCTACATCAAATGGCAGGCCTTTTGATAGTCATCATTGGCCCTTTAGTTGACTTCGGACTTCACAGAGGGAAGGAAGAACATCAAAGTGAGAAAAAGTGGAGAGGGGGAACAGGAGAGAGATTAACAGATGTAAAAGAGACAGACAGATGCAAAGGCCGAGAAAAGGTAAGGTGAGAACTGTGGAAGTGGTGGAATATGACGTACAGTGGGGTCACAGTAATTTGAAGTGACCGGTTTATTGATTTTTTGGCGTATGAGTATACGTTGCTCAGGGTGGACCACGTCACTCCATCTTGTGTCACTCTCTCATCTGCGAAATAAGTGGCCAATGGACTGATAAGAAAGATTGTCGAATTCACTTTTCCAATTTTGAGCTCCAGGGCGATATCCGTCGAAATACTCTTAATGCCCCCGTGCGAGATGTTCATCCTCAATGCACTCTACC